GGACATGTCTCATGAAAATCAAAATTTYAAACAAGTGGTTTAGCTGGACATTAAAACTTGCTCATGTGTGGCTTTGCTGCTTGCATAAGCTATTTGTGCAGGGCTCCTTGGGAGGATCAACATGAACGAGTCCAGAACGCTCGTGCACCGCTCCAGTGCTGGCTGTGGTACCCATGGCCTCGTTGCAGATAGTGTTGGGCAGTAAGAAGCTGGTTTCAGAGAAGCAGCACCAGGCTGATAAAGCTTCTCTTTGAAGCCCTTGAGCTGCGTTTTGTCCCCGGGTATACTTCTATAGAGCATTGTATGCATTTAGCAGCATAAATAAAGCAAGCCTTGCACATGCTTCTCTGCTATAAATCCCTGTAGATGTACATGCAAGTCAGGCACAAGGGTGCTAAGGTTGTGCCCTGCAGACCCTGCCCCTAGGAATTCTTTCCTGAAATGCAGACCAAACTTTTCTCCTTTGCTCAGTCTCTTTGCTGTTACAGCAATTACCAGCCACCGAGATGATTGTACATTTTAATAATTGTACTTGTTTAATTAAAATTGAAAGGTAGTTTTTACCTCTAGCTTCATGTTGTGGTGCTGTGAAAAGATGAAAGTGAATTTAAATAGTTTCTTCTTGAGTAGCAGTAATGAAAAAGGTTCCTCCAGGTCTTGTGGTTGTATAAGGACAACTGCAATTTACTTCTGTAGGAACTGCCCATGGAAGGTGGTTCTTTGCTCATTGTAGATATTAGGGAGCACCATCATACCGTGAACTATTCTTCTGTTCTTCTCAGAAAACAGAGCCCTGTCAGCTCCTGCACTGTGTACTTCAGTGCTCCTCTGAATAGTGGGATTAAGTTACGAAACTGTTTTCAACACTGTTTATGAACTTAAAATCTGGAAGAGAAAAGATCCTCCTTTGGGTTATGGGTTTCGATGGTATCATTCTAATTACACACATCTAGTGAGATTACATCACTTATTCCACAGGCATGACCAAAGTGTATGGCTCAAGATTTATGAGATAAACATTAAAATGCAAACACATAACTGCAGAGTAATGTAATGTCAGTTAGGAAAATTGGGTTGAGACTTCCAGACTAACCGCAACTAGATACAAGTGAAGGGGAAAATGTGTTTTTTTTTCCTTCATCTGCTTTACATTAGGCTTTACATTTTACAAATGACCGGGCATTGTAGCACTCCTTAGCACTGCGTTTATGCATATAGTGATTTTTTTTTAAATGGGGGCTTTATGACAGTGGGAGTAACTGTATGGGATTGCTGTGGGATTTAAAACAGTTGCTATATTGATGGCTTCTTACTATGCTCAACGGATTCCGTATTCCTGAGCTGTTTCAGCTCTGCCACATGTGTTTCAAACTGTAGCTTTGATAGTTTTCTCATTCTGGAGAGGTTGAGAGACTTGTTTGGCTCAAGTCTGATCGTAACAGTGTCACATGGAGACAACGTGGAGAAAGAAAGAGGTAGAGAGGAATAGCCCCAAYTTAGGAGGAGCCAGGACCTGTCCTCTTCGCGCAGAGCAAGGCACCATCCATCAGCTGCTCAGTCATATCCTCCCTCATCAGAAACAGCGCTCTGGCATTGCCAGATKTGGAACAGGAGAAGAGCATCTCTGCTTTGCAAAGAAACATGCTGCCAAGCTGTAGCTCAGGAGCGAGGATTCCAGGTCCTATRGATAGGACCTATCCATAGGTCCTATCAAATTATCCTCTGGGGATAATTTGACTCACGTTACAGCAAATCAGCGTTCCTGCTGGAATGGTGCCTCTGCAGCTCCCACGGAGGCATTTTGTGCATTCAAATRCAGTCCTTCCTTCCAGGAAGGTGGCAGGATGGCCCTTTTTAGTGCGCAAACCTGCTGGAACATACCACTTTCAGGGACTGAGGGTAAGCTCTCTCTGTAAAGTCATAAAAACGCTGCAAACGACAAAGTAAAATACTCAAAACTGAGTTTTGCTAGAAAAAGAAACAGGGAGACTTAAGCACCTACTGTTGTTTTRCTGTGTATTTAATTCTATAGGCCCAAAGTTAATGGGGCATAGTTTAATCATTTTGACCTCATTTTTTTTCCAATCTGAGTTCCTAAAGTTAAGTATCTAAAACTATATTTAGACATCTCAGTGAAAGTGGCCTGATTTCTAAAGGTGCTGAGCAATTACAGGAATGGGAAATGTGTGATAGCTTTTTGTGTCCTGAATTCCYAGGCTTAGAAATTAACACACAAAACTTGTTGTTGGAGAGGATCAGCCCATGAATTATTTTAAAAGGCTGAAATTGTACAGGGTTGTTTGCTAATAGTAACTTAAGTTTTTAAGGAGGAAAAGGGGATGACTGTAAATGGCCACAACAGAACTCTCAAAGGTGTCTGGGTATTAAAAGGGGAAGAAAGGAAGAAAAATCAGTTGAAGTGGTTTATTTCATGCAGCCCTGGAATAAAGGCAGCCAAACTGACATGAAAAGGCATTAAAAAAAMCCTTGTTTCACCTAGATCCAACCTGAAGTATTTTGTTTTAGTAGTAGTTATAAAATCTGGAAATTAGGGCATAGAATGGAAACACTGACACTGCTTTCATGGCATAAGGGTGCTGCTATAAAACATGGGCGAGTCTTAAACAATATGGTTAATGCAATATGGGTAATGCAGTAAACCTGTCAAATGCCTTAACTGCAGGGGGGCTTCCTCGTTTGGGGAGCTCACCATGTTGCRTAAGACGTTTTAAACGACTGCATCTCTTTCCATTTTACAAGTGACTGTTGGKCATTTAGGTTTCATAATGTTGACTTTAGCATTCTTCAGAGCTCCCTGCATATGTTTGATTTACTGCCATTTTATGACTGCAGTGAATTGCCACAAATTGGGGAAAAATTGTATAAAACGGTGAAGAAAATCACTTTTGCTTCATGGTACTCTCAGTTCGGGCTCTTTGCTTTTAAAAACCTTCTRTTTTGTTTGCTTTCCCTTCCCTGGCCGACTGTTAAAGCTGCCCAGTGTAATAGGTCTGGTTTTCAGGTATACTAAATGTTTTTCATGTTGTCATAACTATGTCAAGTGGCCATCGATGGAACAGAAACAAGTTCCTRAGACTGCAGCCTGCATGAGAGAAGCTCCCAAGGGGCTTTCGAGCACAGTCCAGGACTTCTCTGTTTTCCTGGAATCGCATCCTTAAGGGAGTGCAGGGGGTCTCAGGTAGGGAGTGCTGAGCACTGTAAATAGGTAAAGTTTAGCAGTGCGTCGCTAGTTAGCTCTGTGGGAAGTTGTGAAGAACACAGGTACATACTGAAAATCTTTGCTTCTGTTTGAACATGCCTTGTTTGCCCCTGAATTATATGCTTTTAAGGAAGGAGATGGTGTTCCATCCTGAAGGAAAAGGTAACTGGGAAACTAATATTTGTTTTATCTAGCTATGTGTATTACTGCCTAAATCTCATACAGAAGGTGAAGATTTATTTCATTGAAGGTAGGTTTTATGTTACCCCTGGAGGTTTTATGTTACCCCTGGAGAGTGGGCACTGTCAAGGACGAGCTCCCTCCTGCAGTCGGAGATCGAAGAGGTGCTTGAACGGACCAGCACCCAGAGTGGAAAAACTTTCTGAAATTAAGAGGTGGCAGAGACAGAATTCAGCCTGCCCTGGTTTTATACCAGACACCAGAGAGCTCTCTGAATGACCTCTGCATATGAGGAATGCAAAATAATTTAAATGCAGTTCCCAAATATAGCAGAGAAGCACAGAATCAGGGCCATTATTTCTGTCTCCAGCAATGTGACATTTCCTGGTCACATATGTACCAGCAATTACTTCCTATTCCTAAACGCATTTCTCAAGTGCGGACTGTGGCATCTAAACCCTGCTCTTTCTTCTCTCATTCTTGCCTCCAGTTTGATTCTAGCTATTGCTTGTAGATTAAAATTCAGTGATCTAAGAAGMTGTTTAAGTTGTTTGCAATTAAACATTGTATTCATAATGTTGGGCTCAAAACTGATCTGTGCAGCTGGCTTTTGAAGGAGTAGCTAAAAAGTCTATTTTCTTCAATGGGATTAGCACTTGTAGCCATAAGACAACCCACTTTGGTGAGTTTCATGCCCCAGGTGAATGGTGGTCCTGCAAGTGCATGTGTGTGTTATTTGCATGCTTAATACTAAACATGTATTAATGTTAAATAAGCATGTGCAAGGGGATTGGACTAGATGACCTCTGGAGGTCCCTTACAACCTTAAGCATTCCAATGTGTGTGTTTGCAGAGGCAGAGCTCTAGGTATTTTTAAAACTAGGTGAAATCCTAGTCAGAGGGCTGCACAAACTAGGCTTTATTATTCATTGTTAATGTCTCATGTTTATAGTTCACGCAGTTAAACATTCTGGATACACATAAAACTGATCATTACAGACTGAGCTCCAACTATGGGATATAAATGATTGAACAAATAACTTGGAAGCTTTAGTCTTTCAGGTCTCTTGAGTACAGTCAAGAGGAATGACTGAGCATTGATAGCTGGCAGGCTTGGTCCATGAGGGGCTACCAGCATCAGATTTTTAAAAGACCTGTCTAGGAAACTGTCACACACTTATTCCAGGTAGCTGATAGCTTGARCTTTTGGTAGACTGTAGGCAAGGCACTAAAACATAATCAACCAAGGAATTTCCAGGAAGATAGACCCCTGACTCTGTCACTGCCTGGTCACTTCTGCCTCCCAAACCTCAGCAAAGTGGTAGGATAGGGATGACAAGATTTTTTTTTTTGTGTGTGTGATATTCAGCCGTTGAGGGAGTACCACTTGGAAAAGGCAGTGGTGGTGTATGAAGAGTGTCTTGGGTTGTGTTTTTAAGATACCAGCGAGTCATAAAAAGTCTAGCTGAGATGGATATGCGCTGAGAATAGTGTGGAGAAACCATATTTCCCTTCAGTGATAATTTAGCTTTTAGGAAAAATGGGTATTTTCATTACAATGTTAGACTAAATAAAATCTTTATTCCAAAAGGATAAGGGTGGAATCCAGCACTAATGAGGCTGCACAGCTGCTGACTTGTGTGAATTCCCTGCTACCTTTGGGAAGGGAAGTACCAGCCCTTTGCGACGCAAGTAGGCTGCGTGACCATCTTTTCTGAAGAGAGCTGCTCCACTTAGCTCCATGGACAGCTGCAGTCCTCCGTGGTTTGAGGTTAGTGAAGTGTCCTGAACATGCAACATGAGCACTTTTATATAAGGGTGTGGGGTTTCTTTGTTTGCTTATTTTCCCCCCACTGGATGCCATGGAGTCTAGTCAGGCTAAGAAGAATTTTAAAGGAATTGGTATTTACAGCTGCTGGTGTTTTTGGTTTTTGTTGGTTTGTTTTTAATTTTGGCTGAGATAACCATCCTAAAACAAAGGAGGATGAAAATGTCATTACATAGCTTGAAGATTTAAGAGGAAGAAAGTGCCCATTTGTTACAAAAATAGATAATTTTGAATTGAAACAAGAGCATCATTGTACTCTGTAGCTTGTATTGTAGTCTGTGGCAACAGATGAGTAAGGTTGTGGCATCAAATCTGTTYGAATAGGTCAGTCTGTCTTCCAGGCCACCTTTTATGAGCCAGATCTTGATCCATTTATTTTCTATACTCCCAAGTTATTGCTATGGCATCATAAAACACCAAGGTGCTGGTGCTTCATAAATAAGAGTGAACGATTGTTCTGGCTGTAAGACTGGACTAGTTCCCAGCTCTTGGTGCACTGGAGAGAGTAGCTTTTAGACAGCGGGAAGCTCAAAGAGCACACTCTGAAAATTCCTAAGTGCATTATCTTGTTTGTAGGCCAAGGAAAGGACTTTGGTATCTTTTAAGGCATCTACAGGAGGTCAGATATTCCTCAATTTACTTTGGCCTCATGTAGGAGTATCTGTGGCCCTTTCAAGAAGCCCTTTGGAAAGGTATTTTGAACTCTATCATGCTGTGGTGATAGTGCTTTTAAAACAATCCTGCAAGCCTTGTGCCTGTAAATATATAACAGTTTAACACACAACAGAAATTGATTTTTTGCCAAAGGTTTCTTCTGACGTATTTAATTTTACTGTTTATACCAATATTTCATCTATAAACAGTTTGCTATTTAAAACTGATATTTCTAAGTGGCATTATGCTAAATAAGGAGAAAAATAGCAGTATTATAATTTGTTTTGCAGTGTATGAGAAAGAAATCCAAACAAAATGTCATAGATTGGCCAATTTTCTTGCACTCTTCTCCTTAAAAAACTTGACCAACCACCAACAGATGCATGATTCATGCAGATGGCCACAGTAATTAAACTAACCAGATGATAAAAGCTCCTATTTTTGTGGTCAATCTTTTCAGCAATTACTTTCAGTCCAAATGTAGCCAGCAGTTGGAAACAAAGGGCATTATTAAAAGCTATTGACTGAACTCCTCACTGCTGCTGAGAGTGCTACATTTTTTAACACACGTTTTCCCAGCAATTAGGGAACCTTTCAGATATTTGAATAGTTGAATTTCTCTTCAATGAACTGGTCTGAGTGTTGTCTAACAACGCTAAACTGCATCGCATTAAATCAGTTCTTCAGTGTGTCCACAAATATACAGTATTCAGTGGATATCGAGGGGAAAAAATAAATCYACGCTCTGAACTAAATCCTTAGATGTTCTGCCTTCAAAGACATGAATGTGAAAAGCTGGTTCTGTTTTGATCACCTTTATACCCATCTCATTTGGGGTCGGATCAGAGCTAAAAGGCTCCTAGATACAAAGTGTGGAGGTAGCTCTTTTGTGCCTAGGAGGTATTTTGGCTTTGCTCCACCTGGAGACTTYTGTTGCTGGTGGGTCTATGTTGTCTCAAATCGGTAGCTTTCTGTTAGTTTTTGTGCTTGATAAATCTGGGTAGGTATCTGGTCTTTTTGCATCTATAGAGATTTGTTTTTCTTTAGGCAAAATACAAGGTCTGACTTTGGTTGTTCTGCCAAGCAACTTAAATGTAACTGGTCGCAAGAACGTTCTGCAAACAGTTTACAGAAAGCAGAGTTATGAAGACAAAAGGGCTATGTTTTAAAGACTGGTAAAGTTGCTTTTAAGTGATGTTCTGCATCTCTCCTTTTCAAAAGCAAGAACAATTTTATCAGTCCAGGACTGAACAGGGAAAGTTGGAATACATTCATTGCGGCTTCAAATTGACAACAGATAAAATTATGCCAGGGTTGCCTCGTGACTTCCATCTGTTCAGATTTTCAGGATGTTTGCAGGGGTGAAATGAATCCATTGATGGAGTTGCTGTAACACCCTGGGAAGTAGTATCTCGATTAAGTGTCTTTGTTCAAAGGCAGTTCCTTTTCCATTCACTTTTCCCTCCCTCCTGCAGGTTCCCAGCTCTGGTCACCACCTGGGCACTGCTAAGCAGGGGGTGACGTTGCAGCAAGACCCAGATACGGCCTGTTGGACTGTGCCTGCCCTCGTCTTGGACGGGACATTGTGCTCAAGAAAGTGAGGCTTAACCTGAAGTACCTGTCAGCAGTGTTGGACGTAGAGCACGTGAGTAAGGATTTAGCTTCGCTTACACGTSTCAGTCTTGTTGCTTCAAATCTAGTCATGTGTGTTTGAAGCTGTTGTATTGCGAATGCAAGTATAATTAACATGCTGACTATTTATAAGAGTTCCTGGGCAGGCAATGAGCTATGCCTTTGGGCTTTACTGTGCTCCTGTGTATTGGGTGGAGTTGCTAGTGTGTGTACGTGTTAGGTGATCAGGAGGCCAAAGCTGTGATATAGCGAAAAAAGCCAGAGAATCACCGTGCTTGTACAATTAGTCTTACTCAACGCATCAAGAAATCTAAATATCTGCTCAAATGTTTGCTRTGGTAAGTTAGAGACTGCCTTTTGTCCAACTTCAAGTGCTGTAGTGCGTATTTTTTTTAAAAGCATAAATTGTTTTGAAATTTTCCAAGAATGCACTGAAAATAGCTATTATAGAATAGTTTAATATAAGGAATCATGTGGAATTTATATAAACTGAAAAAGAAAAATAATGAATTGAACTTTTGAATGCTATCATAATTTTTATTTTGTTACATGGCTTTTATTTAAGAAAATAAAGTTGAAACAAGACATTTTCCAATGCAAATGCTATGTTAAATATGCAGACTTTTTTTTTTTTTAATTTAGATTTTACAACTGGAGCATTTTAATTCCTCTAAGGAGCTTAATTGTTTCAAGGAAAAAAAAATAAACCTCAGCAGCAGATAAAAGACATATTGCTAAACTGCTTGCCCAGATAAAAATGTTTTTATAAAAAAAGGCCAATTAGAGTGTTTTCCCACTAGGGTTTTATATTCTTGCAGCTAACAAGTGTAGYTTACATTGTGCTTTTCTGGAGAAGCCAAGCTGAAATGCTTGGCTAATGTGGAAATTCTTCAATGTTTTGACCTAGCAGATTCAGAGACAAGTCAGGCCGAGCTCTGTGGCATTGCCTGTGTAGCCAGGGCTGGTAGTTGCCTTTCTAACACACAGAAGAGAGAAAAAAAAAAAAATATATATATATATACACACACACACACACACACATACTATATATATTTATTTCACAGTTGGAAAATGTTGGAAAAACTCCTAGTTTTCCTGGGATTAAAGTAATGGGGGAAAATTTTGCATGAAGATGGCAGAGATCATGGGTAGATGATGTTCTGTGGGAAAACAGTGAAAAGAGAAGACATAATTTTCCAGAAACCATTATCCATCTTGAAGAATAACTAACAAGCAAGTAGATAATTATATTCATTCATGTTTGCTATCCTTTTTGCCCAAAGGCAAAGTATAATGATTTCCTAAATGATTTCATTCATAAAAGTCTTGAATGGGTAAAGTAATTTTGCAGAGATACTGTGGAAAGATTTCATTGCATTTCTCACAGAATGACTTGTGAATGGGGAGGAAGGTAAAAGCTTCAAGCTGTTAGGATGGGATGAAAGCTGGTCTACCTAATGTGGTCCATTCCTATTTCAGGTAGGCAATTTTTGTCTTGAAAGTTTAGGCTAGTCTCAAGGTAAGTAGTATTGTGACTGTGATTGAGACAAGCAAAGTCTGTTGGGAAAGATAATATTTGGTGAGGTTCCTTGCTGTAGCTGGAGTAAGCAGCAAGGCCTCTTGGAACCACTCAGTGAGTCTCACTGAAGATGGATTTCTTGGCTAATAACCAGCACAATGACTCCTCCTTCACCTGTGAATTACTATCCCAGATGTCCGCCCTTCTTGATGTGACCCAGCGCATACGTTAAGAGTCCTGGCAGAGCTGCTTAGATGGTGCAGTAATGTGAATAAATAACATGAATTGTCATATAGCAACGGCAAGGCAGGCATGAGTCTGAAAGTGATCTATTTCTTTCAACAAAATTGGATCTAAGAAAAACGCTGCAACTTGATATAGTCACCAAGCCCCGTTCTTAATTGTTTGAGTGCTGTGCGGTATCTTCCTTTGTGCCTAGTATCTTATATGAGCTTTGCAATTACCACAAAATCTTCCAAAGTTAGGCAGGACCTCAATACAAATTATTAGAGGAAAAATAGCTATGTCTGTCAGTAAACCATACTCCCAAGAGATTTAATTCCCTGTGCTAGGTTTTTGCTTGGTTTAGGAGACTGATCTGTAGCTACACTGAGGTTTGCAGAATTCTTGGCCTGCAGCACAGTCCCAAAGRGCAGGAGAGGGGCTTGTGCGGGGCATATGGGTGTCTAAGCAGAATTTTGTCAAGCTGTGGCCAATAAAAGTGATGATTTTGGTGGGTCTACGTAGATGTTTTATGACTAAATAGCAGGAAGATGGGAAATGCAACAGTAAGAATAAGGCAAGTGAGAGAAAGAATGTGGTATGTACGGGTATAAGTGTGTGTGTGAGTGTATATAGATATAATTTTCTTAATCTGTTGCAAAAATTACTTATAAACACTTCTGAGAAATTGCCGTCATATTATCTGTAAATACCTAACTACTGTCAAAACGTAATGGCTCCTTTTCTGGGAAATGTATTAGGTTTTGATCCCTGCACATCATACTCAATAAATTTGTCAGTGGAGGAAAGTTCTGACTAGTTTATTATTGTGAAATGCAAAGGTAAAGGCTTACTTTTTTATTAGAAATGTCTCAATGTAGAACTTGTTAGGATGAGAAGATGCTTTTGCTTGTTCTTGTGTTTTAAATGTCAGAGCTWTGGAGTAGAGGGCATAAATCTGGGATGATTGTTGCAAATAAAAAACAGCCTTAATAAAATCCAGTTTCATTATTTAGATTTCAGTTTACTGGAGCGCAAGTCATTCTTTTAGGGCAAATAAATGATGGTTTTTATTTCTGCGTGCATGTATAATTTGAATTGTGTATCTTCATTTGCTTAAGGTATTTTTYTCAACAGTGGAAAAAAATCTTATCTGAAGCAAAGAGCTTCTTCTGTTGTTAGTAGTAATACTTCTAATGTTAGACCTACTTTTCATGGTGATTTATAGATTTTTAACAAGCAGTTAATGAATTTAAAAGTCAAACAAGCTCCGGGATTGTACAGCAACCTGAAATTTATCTAGAACAAACCCAGTCCTTTGTTTTCCCTTTTGTCTCAAAGGCTACACCTGCTCCTGCAGCTTCCTGGGCAGTGACCAGCCGCAAGCCAGTGCTGGTAGACAGACTGTAACGTCATGTGGCCAGGTAGGTCCAGTTGTGTCAAATGGTGCTCAGATAGGTATCTGTGCAGCTCAGTGYCTTGTTCTTGGTGTACCAGCTGCTGGTGTGCAGGGCAAGGCTTGTGCCTTGGTCACAGATACTGTTTATCTTGTAAGTGTCAAACTAGCTTATAATAGGTATAGTGTCATATAGTAACTTTCGAAAATGTGATTTTTTTTTCCCCCCGCATGAGATTTCCATAAGTACAATTTCTAAGTGGCCCTCTTTGGAGACAGCTTCTTGCTCTTGAGCAGTTGGGTGGCTTAACAGAAGAGGTAGCTGAGGCCAGTATCAATTCCAAAGCAAGTCACATAGGGCAATAATGAGTATATTACAAAGAAGTCCTGCAGGTTTAAGAGAAGCAGAATGAAAAAGTTGGGGATAACTTGCTAGAGACTACTGAGGTCTTTTTTCTTTTTTTTTTTTCTTTTTTTTTTTTTTTTTTTTTTTTTTTGGTCCTGTTTTGCTTTATTTTGTGTCTTATGTTGAAAGAGAGAACATTTTTTGTTCTTTTATTTTATTTTATTTATTATTCAGCAAATGCTTTTCTTCTGTAGATTTCCCAGGACGCTGTCTCAAAAAGATCACGTTTCCCATGTCTTGATTAAGCCATGTTTGGGGTAAAACAGACTTTAGAAGCATTGCAGAGCAGTTCATGAGAAACCTAAATTAAGCTTTCAGAAGAAATTTAGGGAACTGGCCTTTTAGCCTGTGACAGTCTTGTAGATGAGTTAGTGATGAACTTAACAGCAAAGAGATCAATGTTGTTGAATATATCATTTAGATGAAGTCTCTAAAATGAGCCCTTAATGTCTTGCTGTTGTGTAGATACTGATGCAGAAGCAAAATATATCCCCTGCTTGAGAAGCTGGTTCTGTATTGGTTGTGCTGAATGATCCTTATTCTTATGAATAGTAACTGCTGTTTCAGTTGCAAAATTGCACCTCAATTTACAACATATTTCTGCAGTACCTAGTTCTTTTTTTTTTTTTTTTTTGTGATTTCACTACTGAGCTCTAGCTTAAGAAGTAAATTCTCAGAGGATCATCCCATTGTGCATAACTCGGCATGAGGTGCATAATTCAACATCTTAGCTAATATTTACTTCTAAAACTTAGGGCATTTTTATTGTCTGTTTTAAAAACATGTATTTCTCTGCTGGTTGCTGCCTCCCAGGCAGCAACAGGACCCACAGGACAGTGACTCATTGCACCTTTATGGCAGTATTTAGAAAAATATATTTTATTGTGACTAATCCTAGAGAATCAGGCCAAAGTTTTAGAAGTACTTCAGGATTTTACTCCTTTTTCTTAGAAATTATACATGTTTCATATGAACTGTGGTCTTAGTACCAGCAATATATGCATAAAAAGCATCCCCTCTCTGATGATGATGCAGCTTAATGGTTGGATAGTGTTGGTACTGAGCTTTATCCATGTGGAATGTCTTATAGCCAAAACACTGAAGGGAAGCACAAGGATGCATTAAGAAATCCAGAGGTGGGGTACGCACAAACTTCCCATTTTCAGCAGGGCTAATACCTGCTTCTGAGAGAGTTTTAGGAAAAGTTGCTTTTGATGAGAGAGTAGTTGGAGCTGCAGGAGGCTACAGGAAAAAGCACAGCACTTCAGGMTTTTAGTAAAGTGCAGGTGTGAGTCACTCTGCATGCTTCTCTTTGGAAATTCTGGAATTGAAGRCTCTTGGAGGAAAAACAAGAAGCCCAGGAGTAAACAGGCAACATGTCTGATATTGCTTTGAAGAACAGCTTGATTTKGTGTTTTCTGTGACGTTGGAAACGTGCCCAGAGGTGGTGATGATGCTCTGCTGCTTCAGCAGTTAGCAGAGATGGTCACTGACTAGTTTTAGAATCTGCCATATGTCCAACTGGCTTAAGTTCACCCTAGTCATGAATGCTCTTCTCTGTCTTGGCCAACATGATGTTCATTCTCCGTGGAGGACCTTGGCTGCCTCCTGATGTTGGGTATTGCAGGTGAGGGATGTGGAAGTGCAAGCCACGAGTGAGGTGTATTGTAGGAGTGTTTCTGAGTTCATAAATACCACAGTGGAGTTTTGTCCTGCAATGCAGAGACCTTTCAAAGCAGGGAGAGAGCAAAGCTTGATGTGTATTGTAATAATTATGCTCTGAGAGCATTGCCCTTCCTGACATAGCTGAAGTCCACTTGGATTGAACATGTCACAGCAAACTCTTTAAGCCTCTTAAGACTTTTAAGCCTTACTGGCTTAAAAGTGAGATGTCATGTCACCTTTTGCAAGGAGAGGAAAAGGCCTCCTGGAGCAGCAGGTCAGATGTCATACTAGATAGACAGCAGTACCAAAGCTGCTGGAAGCCAGCTGGTTTCAGGTCTTCGTCTAGCATCCAATTTTTCAGCAGTAAGCAGGGAACACAGCAGATTTTGGCTTGGAGGGTATCCTGATTACGGCCAAATCAGAAAATCACCTGAAGAGGTATGAAGGGGCAAACCTCATTTTCCGCTCATCAGTTAATATATTTTTTTATTAACAAATAAATTCATTCTAATTTCTTTTTCCAGATTAAACTCTCTGGTATTCATCTGTAGATGAATCAGCTCCAAGCTTACCTCATTCCAGGAGAAAACTTGTAACAGATGCAACACTAAGGTAGCAAATCATTGTAGCTAGCCTACCCAGTAGGCTCTTCTATGTTTTTACCACAGTCATGTCATAAATGGCACCTTTGACTTTTAGTAGATGAGGGTAAAAATACTTAACTAAGTAGGAAGTGAGCCCTAAACCCCAGATTCGTAGACCCAGACATATTGCTTGCACTTCTTAAACTTTCTTCAGAAATTCTCCTGGATAGACACAGCTTGAAAGACATATATGTGGAAAAACAACCTAGTGTGGGATATGGGAACCTTCTGCAACTTCAAAGAGTAGGTCCTGACTTTATTTGTTGTTTTACCTTCCCAGGCAGAGATATGGAGCCTTTGGAAGCAGTTGTTCTAAATTAGGCATTGCAGCTCTAGGCAGAGGAAAAAGAATGTCATTCCTCAGCCCTGCACAAGTGGATTGCATTTGGGTTGGTTTACAGCTTAACTATTTCCAAGAGTCAACCCTCACATTTTTAAATAAAATTGTAAACATTTAAAAATAAATGCAAGTGCCATTATGGTATGCAACTGCTGCAGAGAACCTGCCATTTTCCTTGGAAGTTCTGTTACTCGTTTTCATATAGCTGGGTATCCTCTATTAGAGAGACCCACACAAATTACTAAAGTATTAGAATTAGGACCACTGGGCTTTTATGTCTATATGAGGGAATAGATATGTAACCCTAAGTGCAGTAAATTAAAGTTTTTATTTAATTTTGTACTGTTTTTAACAGATGTTAGTATTTTGTTAGGTAGTCTCACCCTTAAAATTGCTTTAAAACATTGCCTTARAGTTACATTCTTGTGAATTGCTTTAAGGAGATTAAAATATGAGTCAGTCTCTTTTCAAAATAATCTTATTCTTATGGAGTGTTCCCAGTTTGATATCAAAGGAAAAATACTTTAAATCAGTCTTTTTGTTTGAGCTTGAAACATGACTCGTACTTGTCCTACACAGTCTGTGAAAAAAACACCAATTAACTGTGCTATTCTGGAGGGCTCATGAATTTTTCTAATATGTTCTATCTACTTGAGGGGAAAAAAAGTGATATGCTACAGCCAGTGATATATGATCTGTTATGCTGTATTAAAAGTGTTTCATGACAGACTAGAAGAAATGTTAAGATTGCTGAAGGGACCTCTGCGTAGCTGCAAGAGGTGAGTATTTGTGCAAATACAAATGCTTCGGTCCTTATGGGTCTGAGGCAAGAAAAACAGGAGATGCATTAAGATAAAGTTTGAGAGTTTAATACAGTTCGATAAAATTTAGACAAATGATAGTTATTTTTCCTCCAAAGTAACAGAAAAAAAAARSYTTTTTTTTTKTTGTTTTTGTTTTTTTTTCTGTCTTGCTGCTTCTTTCCTTCACCATATGATGCCTTCCCACTTGTCAGTAGTTCTTGGTTTGGTCAAAAGAGCAGGAGGAGATGGCAGAGAGAAAAGATATGTCCAATCAAGACCTCTTGTTTCTGGAACTGGCACCATTTTCAGTGAAAAACGTAGCCCCAATATAGCAAGAAATGCAGTGTTCAGTTATCACCAGTCAATGTTTTTGTAAGCTRTTAAAAATGTGCAATCTCTTTAGGAAACAGTCAGAGTCATTGTGGCAGTGGTAGAGTGTCCTGTCCTATTGGCTCCTGATGTAACTTATCTTCAGACATGAGGATCTTCAAGGAACTTTTCTTACAGAAGTTTCATGTATCAATTAACATAGTTTTCAGATCTAATGCCTTGAAATTGCCKTTTAGATGTAATTTGATTTATCTACAGTATGATGAAAATTTTCAAGAAAGTTCCATGTTTGTGGCTTTGCCATAAATGATTTCAGTGTTACCCTCTGAGGTCCTGATTTAGCACAGACCTTTTCAAAGAGACTGAGGAAGTGTGTACATAAATAGTTTTCCATACTGAACRTACTCCGCAAGGTATATATTTTTTGCTTTAATTTTAATTAACCACATCTCCATTGCAAATATTTGCAATGAAAATCTAATAAAACTTCCTCAAGTTTGGTTTTCATTACAGTTGCAAAACTAGGAACAAATGAACAAACATGCATAGAAGGATCATGAACTATATTGAACTGTATTGAAGGGGATTACTTCTAAGGCATCTAGTTCCCTTGGGTTTGTGAGCTGCCCTAGTTTATGGTTTTGCAAACGCTGGAACACAAGACAGATTTAAAAAGAGRCTATGCCATGTTTTTCCAAAATCCAGCAGTATGAAAATAGGAGGGAATCTTTCTTAATTTTCAGACTCTTCCTGTAGATGTCTTTGTCACTTGTGTGACACAAATAAGAMATAACACATATAGAAATCACATACTAAAAAAAAAAAAAAAATGGGGTGCAA